GTTTTCCTTGATTCTTTCTCCTTTCTTAATTTGTATGCTAACCATCTACCTGGTTTGTTTGCATCTTCAAAGTAGTTCTGTTTAGCACCTCTAATTTTCTGTGCTAATTCTTCTTTTTCTATTTGACCCATTTTGTGTTTCATTATGTCCATTTTTAGCTTGATGTCCTTTTTCTGTGGCATTTTCTGTAGCTCTTTTTCAAGTCTTTTATGCTCATCCTCTAAGGCCTTAGAGGCTAGTCTTTTCATAGTATTACTTTTCCTTGTATAGTCTATTATCAAGCCTCTAGCTTATGCCTTCATTGTATCCCATACATTCTGAATGGATGTATCTTCTTTTTTGTTTTCTCTAAAGAAAAAAGCCAATTCTTTCTCCATCCACTGTGTGAAGTCTTTTTCCTTTAAAATAGTATTATTTAACATCCATCTAGATCTTTTTTGCCCTTTCCATTTAATTGTCATTGGATTGTGATCTGCCCAAGTACTTGTTTCAATATTTATTTCTTGAATACTAGTTATTAATTCTGTTGACATCCATATCATATCTGTTTTGGACCATGATAAGTGTCTATTTGAGTAGAAGGTATATTGTTTAGTTTTAGCATTTCTTTCTATCCATGTATCTTTTAAGTTTATTTCATCTATCATTTAAAAAAAAGATTTAGGGAGAGTCTTTCTGATTTGCTTTATTGTTTTCTGTGCTGTATAGTCCAATTTGTTGTCTAAAATTCCATTAAAATCTCCCATCATAACTATATTAGCATAGTCCAGTTCAATTATTTTCATATGAATTTTTTTGTAGAATTCTTCTGGTTTGTCATTCGGAGCATAGATTGCAATCAGGAGTGTTTTCGTATTATTGTCCATTATTTCCACCATTAGTATTCTTCCATCATCATTGGTATAAATCAATTTTGCTGGGGTGGTCTCTTTAATATATAAAACCATTCCTCTTTTCTTACATTGTGTCAAGGAAGTAAATATTTTCCCTAATTTTGGTTGTATCAACAATTGTTCATATTGTTTTTAATATGTACTTCTTGTAGACAAATTATATCAAATTTTAATTTCTCTAATTTATGAAAGGTTTTCCTTCTTTTAACGGCTGAGTTAAGTCCATTTATATTAATTGTAATCAATTTTTTCTCTTCCATGGTTATATTTTGTAGTTAAGTTTAGCAGCTCTCATAGATCTTAGTTCACACTGTTCTTTGCCTTCCACCTTTCCACTTACTGCACCTTCTTCTTTTTCAGTTGCCATTTGGCAGTCCTCTCGGAATTCAGTTAATGAGATCTCTTTTTCTGCCTCTTCCTCTTTCCCTCCAAAAAAATCTGTATAAAATAATTCTGCTTTCTCAATTGAGTCAATTCTATGTCTCTGTTCTTGCCATGTGAACATTAAACCTTCTGGAATCAGCCATCTATAGTTCACCTCTTTTTTAAGTAGCATTTTAATCAGGAATCAGTATTCTCTTCTCATCTCTCTCACTCTTCTGGGTATTTGTTTCAAGACCACAATCTCCTTGTCTTTATATTTCATTGTTTTCTCTTTTGCCACTTGCAATATTTGCATTTTAATGGCTTTCTTTGTAAATCTAATGTGAACTTCTCTTGGTAAGCTATTTCTCATCTCATATCTTGTGAAAACTCGATAAACCTCATCTATTCCATCCATCATCTTCTCTTTAGTTATTTCCAAAGCTTCAGCCAGTATTTCTATCATTATCTCAGCTAAGTTTTGTCCTTTTTCTTCCTCTACGTTTTGGAATCTAAGATAGAATTCTGATCTATCTATTTCCCATCTCAACATACCACTTTTATCTTGTTCAACCATCATTATTCTGTTATCAATATCTCCAATCTTCTTGTCACTTTGTTTATCTTCTTCAATTTTTTGGAATCTCTCATCATACTTCAACATCATTTGTTGGATGTTCTCCACTTTTTCATCGGTTTTCCCTGTTCTTTTTCAATGTTCTCTGTTCTTTGTTCAATGTTCTCTGTTCTTTGTTCAATATTCTCTATTCTCCTTTCAATATTCTCTGATCTTCATTGAATATTTTGAATTCCTTGCATAATCATCCACAGAGTCACTTTTTCTTGTTCTTTTTCTTGCTTTAACATTGTCTGTATTGAACATTGTTCTCCAGATGTTGGGGAGGAAATAGTAGAAGTTGAAGAACCAGGAGCTGTAAATTTCCTACTCATTTTAAGCAATTCAAAATCTTCAGGTTCTTCTAAACCTTAATCCAATTGTGAAGTAACCAATTATCGTTCAAAATAAAAATAGTAGGAAAAAGAAGGCCAATAATAATGATAAAGAAAAAAAAGGAAAAAAAAGGGAGGACAAAATTTCTTCAGGTTCTTGTATACCTTAATCCAACCAATAGTTAGATGAAGAAAAAGGCTTGAAAAAAAGAAGTACTAGTATCACTAGTATGATAACTAGATCTGTACAGAGTGCTTTTTGTCTTGATAAAAGTACTGTTGAAGCATAACTTCAAGGAACTTGACAAAGTGAAGCACCTTCCTATTTCTAAGCAGCAAAGTGAACAAGAAAAATGGCTTTTGCATATGTTTGGAAACCACTTTTAGCAAAGTAAAGTGGCTGTTTAAGACAGATCAGCCTGCCTTTGTGCTTTTAATTGAAGATTCAAGATAGAGTAAGTTGCTTCTTCAGCATAAAGCATCTTACTGGGGTGAGCCTACCCTGCATACCTCTTTATGCCTATCCAAGTTTAATCAAAAGGGAGAGGAAATTTCTGTCATGAGGCATTCTATTCCTTAAGTTCTGGACATTTCCATATGAATTTCCCATACATTGTTTGGGAAATGTTTTCACTTAGGTGACTCATGTCACATGGTAATCAAATTAGGATTTAGTTGAGAATATAGAATTTTATTTGCCCCCCCACCCCCCCACACACACCTTATTTACTGTAATATGTAAGAGAAGAGACAACATAAAACCCATTTACATTTAAAAGGCAGAACAGTCAGTACAGATACTAGGGCCAGAAGCAGAAAAGAAACCAGGCATGCTTTCCAAGAAATAATGACATATTTATATGCATTATTAATGACCTAATTAAGGTATATAAATCAGGCAAGCATGCACCAAAGCTAAATGAGCTTGGCTCATAATCTGCAAGAGTGCTAGGACAATCATACACTTCTTAAAAGATAATTCATAGAGAAAGATCAAAGGTACCTGATAACTTTGCCCTAGAGAAAATAAGATTAAGCAGAAGTGTTGACTATTTTTCCTCCCAGACACTTAGCAGTCATTTAAAAGGATGTCAAAAGGAGGTGAATAAAGGAAGATTCACACAACATTTATTCTGTAAAAAGCTTATGATAGCTGTAATTGCCTGGAAAAGCAATCACGGTGTACATTACCATTCAGATTTGTTAAATATTTTCTGTTTTTTTTTCTCTTTTTGATAATTCTTGGTACAAGTAAGCTCCTTATTTAAAAATATTTTTGTTGTCCAGGATTCTTTCTCTTTGATGTCTTTGTGTTGCAATGTTTCATATTCAGTTACTATCACTGTTGTTTAATCAGATACTCTGAACCTGAATTAATTAATTGACATCAAGTCTTCATCATTATATTACATATACTATGCAGCAGTAGAAAATTACACTATCTCCTGTTTGTTATAGAACTTGTAGGTTGAAGTGATGACAAAAGACACCAATTTAAAGACAAAAACAAGAATGTATCTAATTCTAATATGTAGGGATTTAAACTCTATGGTATGTGTGATAGACCTTCGGGTTTGAAGAAGACACTCTGTTGTACATGGAGATGATTCTGCAATCTAGCAGAGTCTAGCACAGTGGGGTAAAGCACAATGGAAACCACTGGAAGTCTATTGTGGTAACTGTGGGTTTTACTGTGTGATGTCATTTACTGTTTTCTGTTAGTTTTTGGTGGTGCCTATCATCAAAGCTAAAACTTCATGCACAGGGCTCATCAGTCTGCATTCTGACAATCTGGGTTCTCTCAGTTTGTGACTATAACTGCCAGTGATCACCTCCATCTATTACTTTACTAGTTCCCCATTGTCACAGGACTGACAAATTAGGTTTGACATGAGAGAATTTGCAGATGAGCTGTTGATAAAGTTGAATTGCATAAGAGAAATATCTGTGCAATGGAGTTCTAAGGGGAACAGCTGCCATTCTCTCAGTTATCCAGTAGCACAGAGAATCATTACAACTGGAGGTTGTTTTCTGCAGTGGATAACCAGCAAGATTAAATATCTTGTCATGCTCTTAATGCTCTACTACCATGTCTACTGGACCTGCCTTCTTGACTGCTGCACTGTTGATTAATTTTTTTCCCACTCAATGTGCCAGAATTCATCTTCATATGGAATAGAAAAATACCTTATCTCACCAAGAATCTTTCAAAATTTCCAGGATTTTGGTTAGGGTTCAGAATAGACAAGTCAACATATTTTTTCCCATTCCAATGCTCCATGAAGCCATTTCTTCCCACAATTGCTTCATTAAATAGAATTTTACCAGGTTAGAAATCCAGCATGCATATACTACAAAAATGTGATCCAATGGAAATTATTCTCTAGTAGGAGTCCAATTAAAAAGAATGTGAAGGCTTGTTTTGTAAATATTGCACTGTAAATTGAATCTCCTTTTAATTCCTTCCTTCCTTCCCTCCTTCCTTCCTTCCTTTGGTTTATGTTAAATGCCTATGAGTGTCAGATTTCATAAACTAAATATTTAAGTTTTATATTTTCCAGATCTGACTCTTATGATTTTTTTCTGATAAGTTGAATACTTTCTCCTACATTCATACTGAAATTAGTCCTTTAGGATACATTTTAAGAAGTAAAGTATACTCCTCCTTTCTTCCTCTTATTTTTTGTGATACAACTTAGCTAAATAATAAGTCATTATTACTATTAAGAAGACAAGTATCTTTGTTATTTAGAATAGTTACCTAACTTAGGACATGTTTCTTTTTATATGCAGGAAAATTCCATGGATCAATATCTATGCTCAGGTGCAACATGACAAGGAACAGGAGATGATTGGTTCTGTCAGCCAAAATGAAAATGCACCCAAAATTACACTTAGTGAATTCACAGACCCTGAAGAACTCATGGACAAAGAGTTGGATGCACGGGTTATAGGTAAACAGCATGGGCATCTATTCAATTACAGTGATAGTTATCATCCCTTAATCAGATATGCCCAACCTAAGGACGTTGTCAGTGTGAAAGGAGGAGGTTCATAATGTTTTATGTAATTAATCCATATTAAGTTAATATGATTCAAATTAAAGCAGTTTTAGTTTTTGATGTGACACCCCAACATCAACATTTTATTTGACCCTGGTTGAGAATTCAAAGTTTTGGCCAAAATACAACTGTACCACCCTTAAACATATAGAAAAAAAATTGCTACTCATTTTTCTCCATTAATGAATATAAATATTTCTCAGATAAAATAGATTTACATTAATAGAAAAGATAAGAAATAGATTGTCAAGTTTAACCAACAGACAGGACTGTAATAACAGAAGGCAAATTCGCACTAAGACATTAAGGTAAATTTATTAAAGAAAAATCAGTAATTTATAATAATAGAATTCTAATAACTATTGTTTCAAGAGCAAGCCTTATGTACAAAAAAATGGTACTCAAATTCTTCTGCAATTTTTTTTCTCTCCTGTCATGAACCCGATTGATTTTCCTTTTTTTGTGTGTGGGAAAGTCATCCGCTCCTTATATTTGCAGGAGACAGATTCTGTTACCCTGATTTTGTGAGAATTAATTCATATAAGTATTGTTTTCTGGATAATATTGCAATGTTTTTTCCTGGAAATTTTTCAACTCTTGAAAAATAATAAAGCATTAGAAGGCCACAATTGAAACACATAAATTATGTTTCAGTAAATATGAGGGAGAAAAGATTGAATGAGAAATTTGAACAGACAGCCCAATGATTGTTTATAGCACAAAAAGGAAGCAACCACTTCCACTTCAGTGGCTGAATGTCTGCTTAACTCTTTCTCATTTGACTTCCATCTTTTACTGTTACACTTTCCATCTCTTTTTTCCATAAATTGATGTTTTCTAATGTCTTGTGTATAGCGTCCTTATTTTATATGGGGTAATTTCTTGGGTTTTCAGCCAAACCATAGACAGAAAAGCAGTTTTGCTGTTTGTGCATAAATTTCAACATACCATTCACTTGTCAGGAAAACCAAAAATGTCTGCTCAAATTAAAGCAATTTCAGAATGAAATCAGTATGCAATGTAGTATGCAACATATGACTTTCTCTCCCTTTCTCCTTCTTCGTAGGAAGCATCTCAACAATCTCCAACAGTGAAAGCACAAAGGAAATACCAAACTGCACTAGTGTTTAATACCAGGAGTCCATTTTGACAACATTACCCAGCTTTTTGTAATTAATATTATGATTAGATGAAGGGGAAATTCTTCTTGTTATTATTATTAATATTAATGGTGTGGACTTTTTTTTTCTTTTTTAGGGACATATATAAAGTGAGCATTTGGCAAACGATATCACAATATGATATACAGTTGAATGAAATGATGGTATAAGATCCTAAATTTCAATTGAAAAAAAGTGCTTTTTTGCCGATGGCAATCTCATAAGACTCTTACCAGACTTGTCTTTGTCCAGTGCTTTCAGATTCTGATTCAGATAACTGATGATATCCGATAAATCTTGAAACTGATTCTGTGAGGTCCCTTCTGAATAATATGTTTAGATCCCAATGAAGGTGGGTGGGATGCCCATAATGGCCCAACCAAAGTTGATCAAATTTCTGAAGAGGCTCTCAATGGTGCATGTTCATACTGATGGTTTACTGTAGATACTTACCATGTAAATATATTTTTATTTCCTGAGAAATAATTTAATGTTTAGCAAAAGATAAATTTAAAATAAATAAACCACACACAGACATACACAAAACACACATGTTTGCATTGATATCAGAAGCCAAACTGTTAAAAGAAAGCCTGCAGTGAGCAACTCTGTCACATGTGGGATCTAAATGTATATCAGTTGTCTGTCCTATTTAAATCTATTGCCTTATTTTAACAGTACTGTGCCAAGGAATCCCCTACAGAAGGAAACATGTTCTGGGTTAGGCATGTTTCAGAACACAGTTTAGTTAAGTCAGTTTCCTCTTCCTTACATGAAGGTGGTGAGGAGAAGGATACTAATTATACTCTCAAATAGGTGTGGCTGAAAAACTCTGAAATATGATGCAGAATCCATAATATCCCCATTTGAATTAGTTGGCTGCATGGGGAAATATTTTTCTCCACAAAAAAGCTAAATAATAAGTCCAAGACTGACTTATAACCTGTAGTGTTGGCCACTACCTGAGACTTCGTTATTTTTATTTTAACATTTTAATTTCAACTCTTTCCCACTTTTTCTTCTATACTCCTTTCAGTGCATATGATTTTACTTTGTATTTTGCTTCCAGCTCATCTGATATGATAATATGGGTAAGTTAAATAGGTTATGTAAGGCTGATTTTGGATTTAAGTGCTACAATCTGCTATTGCCATGTTGGCTCAAAATTCTGGAATCTTGTTTTATATATTTATCACATTTATATAACAGCTCATCTCAAAAATGTGGCAATAAAAACAATAGTAAAATCTAAACATTAAAACAAGTACAATTAAAAACCTCAACAAAATCTTTATAGGAAGACTGTAGAGAAGATTGATGTTAAAAGCAATGCAGCCGTCTCATTAGATCACCATATCTGTGACATTCCCTAAACCTACTGACACAGCCATATAATAAGAACCTTCCAGAAAAATTCCTCAAATGTTCCCAGATTGGCAAAAACTCTTCTACAATATTATTAATTTAACTGGGAATACAGTAGGCTAATATATATTCATAGGCTTTTTTCTCTATAATGTATTATGTGAACAATTTTATTTCTTAGAAAACATATTTGAATTATCTTAATTAGCAATACTATGCTTGAGATTATATTTGTGCAGTAAAAAGATCCATATTTTATGGTCGCCTAGTGATGGGTGGATATCTTTTTGCTATTATTTGCCTGATGACTGCTAATGTTCAGAAACAGGATCAACAAAAATATCCACAAATTTCATGCTCACTAGGTAGATAAGTGAGCAATGGAAAAAGAAGTCTGAAACTAATTATTGTCAATCAACAGATTTTAATATTTTTTACATCTAGAAAAAAGAATCTGTCAAAGAGGGGAAAAAAGGATTATAGCTCTGACTAAAATAAAAGCTTCAGAGGGATCAGTTTAAAAGCTGGTACAGTCCTTTTAGATCTTGTGAAGCATTCTAAAATGTCTCTTGCTAACAAAGAAAATACTAGAATTGGAGAATTCAGAAATCCACAATTTAACATGAAAAACATGAACAATATACTATGCTCAAACTGTTCTACTGAGAGTGTCATTTCAAGTACAGACTGTTTCTGTATTCAGAAGAATATGTATTAATTTACTTTTTATTAATTATGTATTTTGCTAGGGTGGTCTATCCCTAAAAAAATCCTTAGTAATTTCTTAGGTTCATGTTTATACAGTAACCTCCAAAATGTAAAGAATATCTTCCTTATTCATTTCTCAAGAATGGTAGAAATAGGGATATTCCCAATCAATAAGTTTATTACACAAGCAGCATAAAATACAATTATAGAGGATTCCAGTCCTCCCTGATTCTAATTCTTCATCTAAGGCAGGGGTGTCAAATTTGTGTCATCACGGCATTGTCACATGACTTATTGTGACTTTTTCCCCTTTCGTTAAATTGGGCATGGGCACGGCCAGCGGTGATGTAGCCGACCTGCAGTCCAGGAGTTTAACAGCTCTGATCTAAGGAATTCAAGCTAGCATACATGGTCCTTTTCTGTTTCACAGCTCTACAAGATAAATTAAGCTGAAAGACAATTTTAGATTAATGGTTGAGTTTCTTTTAATTTATGCTCCGCAAACTAGTTACCAGGTGATTAAAAAAAAGTGTGTTTGTATGTCCACACTATATGCAAAAAAGTGAAAATTAATTATCTCTGCATAAAGTATGATTGACCCTCTCTTCATCCTTCCAATAAATCCCATACATCCCTCACAGCTCTTCTTAGATCGCTGGCTTCAGTTTACATTTCAAATCTTGAATGTTGCTTGTCCAGCTAACGACAACTCCAACCTATTATTCTAGGGATTTGTATTTAAAAAAAATTAAAGAGAAGGAAATGGGAAAAAGTGGGGGAGGAAGCAACAACAATTAACTCAGCAAGTTAGCCTGTGCCTGCAGTCAGTCTCAAAATGTTTGAGAAAAATGTAAATCATGTTCTTTTGTTAATATTTGTGAAATACTTATGACTAAATTTCTTTCTTTGTTTATGCTCTGGGTTATTTGACATTATTCTTTCTTTAAAAATGAAGTCTGCAAAGCCTCACTTATGCCTCAGATGAAATCTCTTAGAATTTAAGAACATAGAACATTACTATGCCAATGGAATTAGGGAAGGGAACAATATCCAGATGCCAAAATTGTGACACTTTCATGAGACTTGAATGGCCTGTGGGGGATGCTCCTTTATCTATTCACTTCAATATCATGGATAATTTGAAAGGCATGATGTACAGATTGAATTTAATTCAATAATTGGCAAGAATATATTTAGGTGCTTGGAAACAAGGACTACTCATTTCATTAGTAGTCTTACATCTAATTATCCTACTTCTGTCAATAATACTCTTAATGTTAGCTTCTACCATAGAAATAGGCAATGTATTTTCAGCCAATGCCTATATTTTTAAAACATATATAAGATTTTAAGAGATATGTGCAGTGACTTTACTAGTGATGTGTCTTGGGGAGGGGACTTTTTATTTTTCTGAGCATAGGAGTTGTTTTATAAGAATTATTTGTTTTTTGCAGTTTATTATAAGCTTCATAAAGAAGTGAGAGGATGCAAGTAGCTGTGGGAACATTCTTGAATGTATTCATACAAATTACATAAAATCTGTAGAAAGACAGACCTAGCACAATTTATTATGAAATTTAATTATTCTTTCTCTCTGAGCAAGAAGCCAGACAGAACACTATTCAAGGACTGAAGATTGCTCAAAAGTTTCAAACGAGAAAACCCCTAAAATTTCTAACAAAAGACTGATGGAAGTTTTGATTCTTTACAAATTATCTAAACAATGAGCAAGTTGGGGTCCAATGCATTTCCTGTATGAGTATGGTCATCACAAGCAATTTGGAAGAATTTGGAGAACTACTCCTTGCATCAATCAGCAGCCTGATTGCTATAAATGAGCCCTGCTGACTCAGTGGTTAAAATGCAGTATTGTAAACAGGACTCAAGGTTGGTTTAGCCTTCCATCTTCTGAAATCAGTAAAATCAGGACCCAGATTGTTGGGAGTAATGTGCATGTAATGCTTACATTGTAAACCACTCAGAGAGTAGTTTAAGTGCTAAGGGGTGGAATAAATGCTATTTGCTGTACACTATTCAAAGGTAGTTCCGTTGTCATTGCAGCAATGGCATCCATAGCAGTGGTGCATTAAAAAAAAATTACAAGTTCTGTAGGTGTGGTTTGGCTTGGTGGGCATGGCTTGATGACATGGCAGGGGAAGGATAATGCAAAATCCCCATTTCCTCCCCACCCCACTAACCTGCTTTCCAGCTCTGTTCTCCTGTGCAGGGCAACAAAAGAAGACCCAGACTCAGGAGACAGAGAATAGATGGGGGCGGGGCCAGTCAGAGGTAGTATTTGCCGGTTTTCTGAACTACTCAAAATTTCTGCTACCGGTTCTTCAGAACTGGTCAGAATCTGCTGACCAGTTCCATAGGAACTAGCACACAGAAAAGGCATTTGGTTTGTGCTGCAATTCCATAATATTGCCTTCATCAATCTAACACCCATTAATTCACCCTGCTGGATATGGGTATTTAATACAGGATGTAACAAGACATAGCTAACTATCAAAATAAAAAATAGCAAGGAAAGATTGCTGTTAAGAGTGCTAAATATTAGTACATGGAGGAACTCTTCACAACATCTTCCATTGATGAATCCATTGACAACTGTGAATAAAAAAGCACCATTTCTGAAAAACTCTTCTTTTTTTAGAAGTGAGGGGGAGCTTCAATTTTCTCCAAAACAATACAAATTCTTCACAGCACACCATCAACTGTTGTAGCTCCCCATCTGGTCATGAAGATGCCATATAGCACAGAAGGGCAATGTTGACTTGTTCTAGGTGGATGCAGTGGATGCAGAAACCTAACCATCCATGGCAACCATTTCATTGTTGCAGTTCAGATGCAGTTCAAATGGCAACCATTTCATTGTTGCAGTTTAAATGAGCCTCC